CACCATCACCCAGCAAGTTAGAGACGATGCGGGTTTCGGCCAAGCGGTGTTACAGTCAGCATGCCAGTGAATGCCGAACCCTTCACCTGCACAACTGCTTGGGAGTCACCTATATTGGAATGAACATAAGCAAGCACTCGAAGAAGAAAAAACGATTACTAACCTTCCGTAACTATTGTTCTTCGAGATGTGTTGCTCATGTCCATTCCAAATTCCTCATCCCCACTGCCTGCCCCTCTGTTGGAATTAGCTGGCAAGAAAGAACTGAAGGGGCAATGAGGGAGCAGAGCCCTTTATTCTGGTGCTATGAGGCCGTTACTCCAGGGGGCACCAGAGCCAACCCAACGACCACTGAGGGAAAGCTTTCTGGCAGCGGTGCTTGGGGCGAGCACACGCCTACATTGGCATGGACATGAGCAACATTTCAAAGACAATCTTGAAGAACAACATTTACGGAAAGTTAGTAACTGTTTCTTCTGTGTGAGATGTGTGCACAGCACTGTACAAGCCAAAGGGGTGCAGGTTTTCTGCACTCAGGATCTTATCAAAGGATCAAATCCTGAAGCCTTGACCCAGGTTTTTCTCAGTGTTAACCCAAGGAACCTTCCACTGACTTTAAATTATTGGTTCATTTACATTATTATCTATTTGCTCCTTATGTACTTGGCTGGAGGTGTTTTCTGATTCCTAAAAGGACTCTGAAATATTACAAGGGAAAACACCACTTTGTTCAACAAGCAATCACAGCTGTAATAATAAAGCTGGTCTTAAAAGCTTGCACAGTTTGAAAAGTTAGCTGTCTGTCTTTGAACCTTGTTAGCTTTTCTGTTTCCCTTTTGGTTCATTGTGCAACAATATGCTGCCCCTTCCATCCCACTGATATAATGCATGAGACTTCAGCTACTGATGATCTGTGGCTGGTTTTTCTGCCATGTTAATGTTCCTTGCTATGCAACTAAGTGACAGGCATGGGGAGTCTGTGGTGGGGCTGGGAGTCTAGCATTGAACAGTTAGGGGTCAGATTAGTTTGGAGGGGAAAATGTTGACATTGTTACAGTATTTTTCTTGTTGTTTTATGTAGTAACCCAAACATGATATTCAACCAACTCTTTCATTTCAAGTTAATCCTACAGCTCCTTGCTGAAATGTTACTGACACTAATGCAAAGTGATCTGAGCCATTGCATTCACCGCTTGTGTTTGTCTTTGTTCCTTGCACACCCATTGGGAGCTTCAAAGGTTGCCCAGGATTAAGGAACGATGGGTTAGTAGATAGGGCACTGGACTTGGAATCGGGAGACCTGGGTTCAAGTCCTAACTCAGCTATAGACTTCCTGTGTGACCTTAGGCAAGGCACTTAATCTACTTTGTAAACTTGGGATAATACTTTTCTACCTCCTAGGGGTGATGTGTGAATTAAAATCCATCATGACATTGCTCAGATGCTATCCTGAAGAGAGCCATGCAAAAAGCTAGGTATATTATACTCTAACACAAAAACTCTATCTTTATTTAGACTTTCATAGATCTTTGTCTGCAACTCTCAGAATGCTTCACAAAGGTGTGCAAGCATCATTATCCTTTCTGTACACATAGGAAACCAGAGGTGCAGAGGAGCAAAGGGGTTTGAGTAGGATGATACAGCAAGTTTGTAGCAGAATTGGGAGTGTAGCCCATGTCCGCGGACTCCCAGTTCTCTACACCACCGCTGTTGCTTCTTGAAGGTGGTGCTCTTCAGTGTAATATTCTGCCCTTGGTAGCATCTGACTGTCATTAAAGCCAGTGGGAGCTGCCTGTGTAACCCACGGGGGAGTGTGCATTACAGGTCCTTCTCTGTGCCTGATCGGCCAAAAATATGACTCTGTTCTAGCCCCAGGAGGAGTGGCTTGGTTCTTTAGCTCAAGTTATAGCAGTTTGTGCTTTTAATTCTGGAGGTCCTCAGTTCAAGCTCTGGTGTGTTGGCCAAGATGGCAACCAGCATGAAATCGTGTTCAGGGTGAGGTTTGGTCCTTATTTTCCATGAAGTTCTACTTATTAACGTTTCTGACAGTCCCTTCTTGACACTCACTGTCATACTTCGCTTAGAATTTCTTGTCTTTGGTTGTGCAAAACATGGAGGCTGAGATTTTTCATAGCTTCACATGGGACTTGAACCCCAGTTTTCTTTAAAATTAGTGGGAATAGAGCATCCAAATAACCTGACAGACTTAGAAAATCCCACCCATAAATCATGTTTATTTTTTAACTGAGAGAGGAGAACAGCTTCATCCTTTAACTTGGGAGGGAATTCAAAATCTGACTTCTTAAGTAGTGTTAGGTAAACACATCACTGCTTCCAAACACACGCGTCAGTTAGTTTATAGACTCATACATCTTAGGGCAGAGGGACTGTTCAGTTTGTCTGAGTCTGACCTCCTGCATCACGCGGCCATGAAAATCCCCTTGGCAATCCCTGCTTTGAACCCAGTAGCTGGTGGCTGAGCTACAACATGCCTTTTAGACAGCCCCTTCCTCTTCTCTCTCTCTCTCTCTCTCTCTCTCTCTCTCCTCCTCCTACCCCTACCCCCTACCCCCTA